AAAGGACTCTGCAGCTCCTGATGGGGCTTTTCTAAAACATCCTCATGAAGAAAGACAAGAAAAAAGACAAAAAAATGTCTCTGTTCCTTGTTTTCTTCTTTCTACACTGGAGTGAAATTAAGCTTGAGAATGATTATTAGCACATTTTCCCATTTATCTGCTGAATTTTCTAACTAAAATCAAAGGGAAAAAACTATGCTTGATATAAATGTCTTTAGTTAGTTCATTTGCATTAGGGTTTTATTTATTTTAATCAAACAAGCAAAGAAAATATCTAAATCCAGCCGTTAGTCCAGTCCATTGACCATTATAGTCTGGATATTTACCCTATAATGCCAAATGTATCATATTTGGTTCATACGGTTTCTGAAGTCTTTTGGATCTGAGACTTTTTGCATGATTCAGTGGTAAAAGCTTTGCTCAAACCCCTGTTGTACACATTCAGATATACCTGATAACAGCCAGTAGAAGACTACACCAAAATATATTTTTGACTTATTGCACGCTAATTTGATCAAAATAATTTCTGTTTTTTTTCTTCATATGTTGTTGAGGGGCCAAAGAAAGACTTGAGACTAAAAAAAATCCAATATTCTTCCTATTTTTCTTGGATCAGGCTTTAAAAGGTCAAGCATGGCTCAAGTGTCCACCGGTACAAACAAAGACCGTTTCAGGATTTTGTCCTAACACAAATCGACCAGAAGGCAGTTTCTCGATGATCGAAGATGTTTCGGCTCTCATCAAAACCTCCGGAGAGCCTTATTCAGAGGTCAGAAACTGCTCAGCTTTTTAGTCCTGACCGACACTTCTGCTGGCCAGCGTTTGTGTTTTTTGCTGCTTCACCCTGACTCAGTTTTCTCTGGCTAAAGAAATGGGAACACATTTAACAAAGAGACCAGAATCAGAATCAGAATCAGAATAAGGTTTATTGCCAAGTAGGTTTTTAGACTTACAAGGAATTTGCCTTGGTGTTTGGTGCACAACACAACACTTCTATGAGAAGCAAGAAATAATATGTAGAATTAAAAATATAGGACAGAAATGATAAAACTGAAAAATACAATCTTTAAAAATATAGATCCGAATGTACAAATGAACAAACTTTAAAAATATAGATCCGAATGTACAAATGAACCAAAGATCCCATTCAAACCGCTTCTTTGCTAGGTTGTGTGGTCTGTGGCCACAACTCTGGCTCATCCTTTGAGTTAGGGGCCTTTTTTTGTGCCTGAACGTTTCATAATTAAGAGTTAAATGGATTGAAATGGTCATATAAACAGACTACACTGAAAATAAGAGAAAAGGCAGAAAATATTCAAGTAAACCTGTGAAATACTGAACTATTGATCAAAAGTTGTACATTAGCACAAAGAAGAACATTAAAGGAGGAAGAAGAAGCTTTTATGTGTCTTTGTTCTTGGTCCCTGGTCTTTATATTCACTCAAAATGAAAGTTTAAATCCCTGGAAATCACCTTCCTGTCAACCAACTTTGGTCTCCGATGACATCATAGATGCACGACGCTTTTTCTGTAAATAGAGGATGTCCCAAAAGTTGTGAAGGGAAGTGGGTCACATCTGTGTTTATTTCATGAGCCTCCTCCGTTTCTGGTTTTCCAGAGCTCGGAAACACAGATTTTTGGTGGAACCAGGTGACGTCAGCTCACCTCTTTTAGAGAAAATTTCCCTCTGACATGTTCAACAAAGCAGCCGGATGTCGGATGATTAAAAATATCTTCTGTTTCAGCTTTGAAAAGTGTAAAACGTGGCTGATTTGTGGATTCGGTCTGTGGGAGACGGTGCATTTCTGACAGGTTTTAACATCTTTTTCAGAGCGAGTTTTTCCTCTTTTGCCCACAAAAATACGCAGAAGCAGAGAAGCAAACCTAGGCCTATAATGCCAAATGTATCATATTTGATACGTACAGTTTCTGAAATGTTTTGCGTCTGACACCTTTTGCATAATTTAATGGTAAAAACTTTGCTCAAAATCCTATTGTACACAATCAGATATACCTGATAACAGGGGGCAGAAGACTACACAAAAAACAATCTTGACTTATCACATAGTAATAAATTAATAATATTAAAAATGTATTTCTGTTTTTTCTTTTTACATATTTTGTTAAAAGGCCAAATAAAGACTTCAAACACAGAAAAAAGTAATTTTCTGTTTTGTTTTATTCTGGGATCAGGCTTTAAAGGATTAGAAATATGGAAAATCAAACAAAAGCCATGTATTTTTATGGATCAATCCAGGTAAATGAATCTTTATTTCTGTCCCTAAGCAAAACCACAGCTAAACCAGTTCTCCGTGTTTTGGACATGAAATCCTCCAGTTCAGGGTTTTTTTGGCACAGCTAAGGAGTTTTTTTTGTTTCTTTTTACTTGTTTTTGGTGCTTTTTGAGCATCAGATCAATCAATCAGACGATCTGAAACTGATACTTCACAAGCTCATGTTGGATTTTCAGCTTTAGGGGGTCTGTTTTTCCTCATCTAAAGTCAACCAGGAGGAGAAAACGCGGGTCCCAGATGAAGGAAAACACCCGTTTATTGCTCTCTGTGTTTGTGCTCCTGTGTTTTAGGGGGAACCATAAGGTGGAGGACGCCTGTGAAATGTACGCCAGAGCAGCCAACATGTTTAAGATGGCAAAGAACTGGAGCGGTGGGTGAAACGCACGCCACAAATAAGCAAACTCCCACACAAACGCCCACCAGCCCATCTATTCAGGCTTTTTTTAAATTCCCATTCTCAACGGGGCCATCAAAGGCCTCATGCAGCCAGCAAAAAATGGTTGAGATTATCACTATCACTTATTTTAGACCCATATATTTACATATAGTTACTTATGTATATATTTATTTATATTCTGTGTGGAATTTAGTATATATATACATATATATGTATAGACATGTATATGTGTGTATATGCTGTTGTTTTATTTTTAGCTGTTTTAGAATCAGAATCAGAAATACTTTAATAATCCCAGAGGGCAATTTATTTTAATTATTGTTACCAACTCCAGAAATAAATCAACAGCATATACATATATCCATGTCTATACATATATACAGATACTTTGACTGGTTTGGTGTGTGTTAAACTGACTTTTTTAGTGTGTAAAACTGGAGAACTGTGATTGGTTTGGTGTGTGTTAAACTGACTGGTTTGGTGTGTGTAAAACTGACTGGTTTGGTGTGTGTAGACCTGACTGGTTTGGTGTGTTAAACTGACTGGTTTGTTGTGTGTAAAACTGACTGGTTTGGTGTGTTAAACTGACTGGTTTGGT